GGATGAAGATTCTACACAGTACATCATATCACAGGGCCGTGTTTTGGCCTCCGACATCTGCAGTCGGGCTCACATTTCAGACGTCTGAGTTGTTCACAGCTCCACCAAATTCTGAGCTTGTCCTCCAAACTGCTCACATGGTTTTATTTCAGTGCATGTTCGAATGATGAAACGTATCACCAAACACCAAAACTCCAAGATTAAAAGAAAAGTCCAAAAACTGAAAACAGATTTGTGTATCAGAGCTTTGTCTTCGTTCCTCTTCCATTAGTCATGTGAGGAGCCCTCGGATTAATCTGGTGTCCCTGCGTAGGAAACTGTATATAAAGCGCTTCAAACAAGCTCCACCTGCAGCTGCTGCCACAGGAACATGTTGTTTCCAGACTAATAATATTCTAATGATGTCATTTACAGTCAGAAGGACCAACCCAGTGCATTTACGTTCATACTTTGTGTTGCTGCCAGTACCTTTGTATGACTTTTCATGCAGGACTTTTATTTGTATCGAGGTTGTTTTTTTGTTTTTTTGTTCAAGCTTGGAAAAAATTATTCACAAGATTTTTCAGAGAACCCATATTACTCAGAAACAGAATTGCACTGGAGGAAACAGGATCTAAATTTAGTTCCCCTGGCGTAGGTTCTGGTGCCAAAAAAAAAAGTTGTAGCTCCGGGGGTGAGACTGCAGCGCTCAAACAACGCCGCAAACTCATTCCTCATGTATGAAATTAGCATCTGAAACGCCACTTTGTTTTGTGATTCATTTTTGCAATTTGTGGCTCCATAGATCCTCGTACCACTCGATAGGAAACGCTTCTAAAAAAAAAAGGGGGGGAGAAAAAAGCTCTTTTCTATGGAGCAGCTACGATTCACAGACATGCAACCTGTGACCAGGGGTCATGGCTTTGGCTCGGGACCGCCTTGGCTTGGGGCTGTCCAGACTCTCACCGGGGGATTGTCTATGAAAAGACAAGCCGCTCTCGGTAATGAGCAATATTTCAATGCTCTGAGCACCACCAATGAAATTCAATCAACCTCCGTTTAAATGCAGGGGAGACTCAAGCACATAAAACCAAAACTCTCCTAATGTCTAAATAATATTAAGTCTAACGAGGAAAACATGTCTTTTGTCGTTTGGAATTGATCCGTTCAGATTCAGAACAAAACATTTATATTTAAACTAATTTCTTCATGCTAATCCCGGACGTCACATTTAATGTCTTAGTCCTGCCAGGACCCCTCGCTTTCCATTCACGAGCTTTTCTTTCTGTCTACTTGATAAATCAGTGGCGGGCATACAGCTGCGCATGCCAGAATGTCACCAAATCCACATTCCCCCCGTCCGAAGTAGGCCCCTGGCGAGCTCACCTTCCACAGCGTTGGCGGGCCCTCGACGAGCTTGGCATTGGTGCCACAGTACTGCAGAGCCAGATGGAGACACTCGGTGCCAAACTCGAAGTCTGACTCACTGCACTGCAGAGGGGACACAACGGAGAAGACAATCGTTCACAACAATGCATTTCCGTCACGCTCGGTGGAATAACTGTGTTGTTCCTCTGGCCGACGAAGCGGACGCTGCATGAAACATAAAGAACGTCCTTCCTCAGATTTCTGTATTTTACTGTCTTTATGCTGGACACACCTTTACATACACTTCCCTTTACAGTAGTGCAAGTAAGTCCCTGAGAAGTTGATATTCTTAGAGGGAGTTACAGTGTTAAGTTGAAGGTTTATGCTCTTGTCATGAAAATGCGATCGTAAAGATTTTGTGGCAGCCTGCCCGTGCAGAGCCTGGGGAGCCGAGAAGACAGTGGGTGGCAAAACTGTTTTCACCGCGCTGACTAATATCAGAAATATACTGGACGAAAACAAGCATGCTTCATGAGAAGCAGCCTTTTAAGGGGGGGAACGCAGCAGTACTGTTACTTGCTGATTTAGTGGGTGGCACCAGTGTTTCCTGTAGCGACATGGGGGGCCCCATCCGTCGCTTTATATACTGTTAATGGTTTCACAGCGTATAGACAGCAGCATTGAAACAGCTGTGCAAATCACAATCCATGGGGCCTCCATTGTTGCTCCCAGGATTTATGGAAATGTCATTATGAGCTCTTGAGATGCCTTTTCATGGACCAAAGTGTTGCCAAGGGAAAATCTTAGCGAGACAGTGATGATGGAATTATATTAATGAACAACCCCCCGGAGAGAATTAATATTAAAAAGCGAATTTCAATGCATTTTGGCCAGCAGCTGCTGAAATGGGCCAGGCTGCACCAGATTCTTACGCTAACCAGCCAAATGACGAATATCACCATTGTTAGGCTGCCAAGTGGGCAGAACCAGCAACTGGTAGAGCAGCGATACAGATACCTCGTGTGTTACCTCATTGAACCCCAAAACCCATCGATGGGCTGAAAAGGCATGTTGTCTTTTTAAAAAATATGGTTGAAATTACACCATTTATCAGAACCAGAAACTATAAAAACAGAAAAACAGAATTCCTTTTTCATCAAGTTCACTTTATTCTACGTGTTTCGTTTAAAAATCCACCAAGAGTAAACTGTTTCCATGACCCAGATGTGGTAAAACGGAGACAGTTGTTGGTTTTATGTGCCAAGATTTTGAGATATCTGCCTTTAAAAAAGAAGAATCCCCCGCTATCTGAATGGAATGTCGATTGTGCACGAATTTGCAAAGGAGCTGATGATGGTTTGAGCTAAGGGATCATCCTCAGGGGAAAATCATTATATGATTTGATATCATATGACGAACCAATAGCTGTTGACTTGTTTTACCAAAAAAAAAAAAAACACAAATAGTTCAAATGAAATAAAAGTTAGGAAAACACCAAGGGCATTAAGGTTCCACCCCTGAGAACCATGAATATGTGCATTGCATGGTGAATAATTCAAAGGTTGTTGAGATGTTTCAGTCTAGACTGAGAGACGATCATCATGATAACAGTTTACTTTTCGGTAAACAGCGTCTTCGTCACCAAGGGTCGATGGTTCAGACCTCAATTTTTACCTTTTCTCTAATCTATAATAATTTAGTGGCAGAACTTCACTAAAAACCAGGTCTGCTAATGGCTTAAATAGTGACAAACGTTCGAAAAACATCCACAGTATCGCAGAAATACAGTCGTGACTCGAGAATCTGACACGAAATGTAAAACCTTGTTTTATGTCAGATATCAAGGCTGTCGGATTGTCAAGACAGAGGTCCAGATACAAAGAGGGCTTGATGCTGGAAGGCTCATTAGTTGTTGTTCATAGTTGTTATAATAACTAGTAGGGCTGGTCCCAACAGCACTTTCTGCTCTCTGGATATTCAGGCCCAATTATTGATGAATATCTGAATATTCAGCGGGTCGGGGGACACTTCCACCCCGGGGCAGCACTCTGACTGGGTGGAAGTGTCCAGAACACACAGGCAGTACTTGGCAGCTGATGCTAGTTTAGTTAGCGCTCACACTTCTGTTTCCTCCATCGGTGGCGGCGGGGGAGTGGCAGATACGCTCCACCGTTACCATCCATGTTTACTTCCATAAACACTGAGCACGCTCGCTGCATGTGACGTCGTCGTGTCCTCTTCTGCGCATGCGGGACACTTTTGGGTCGTATGAAGTTCACACAGCAGATCACATACAAGTCGCATTGAACTGGAAACGTGAAGGAAGTCACAAAGAAATCCTCATTGAGCATCAAGTCCTGCAGTGTGAACGTAGCCAATCTGTGGGATTGTTCAGTCAGATAATACGCCGTCATCCTGATTGGTGACATTAAATGTCATGTCGGAGTCACAATCCAAGGCTGTCGCTATGTTAAGGCTGTTTTTATGGGTTCTGTTCGTTTTTTTCTTATCAGCAAGGTTTTCGGATTGTTAAAGGTTGGATTATTGAGGCACGACTGTACTAATATGTAATGGTATCTAGAGCTCCCATTTTTTTCTCAACATTAGTAACACCTGACATTTATAACATCTTTGAGTTCCTTCTACTTTTGCAGTGGTCGTGGTGTTTCCATAGAGGTGCAGGACTCTATATTGCAGTTTAATCTGACCCCACAACAAATAAAAAAAGCCCAGGAACCGCCTGGAGCTCAGAGGGCTACTATCTGCATGAGACACGATTTGAAATGTTTCAGTCGACCTAAGTTAAGTTATTTTCAGAAGAGTTCTGGTTGTAATCACGCTGCAGTCTGACCTTCACTGTGGTCTCTCAGAAGGATTCTCTCGTCCAGGCATTTCCCTCAAAATTTGTCTTTGTGCACGACAACCTGAACTGTCAGCAGATAAAAAAACGTCTCACTTTTCTGGAAGCTTTCATGTTGCTGTCTGCATTGTGATCAATGGCGATGTTTACACAGAAGAGGCTCCTAACACAACTCTGCCGTCACCACATTTTTCAGCGGATGCTTCAGAGGATGCTGTTTTCTTTGGCTGATTGACTGCTGGCCCCGCAACGCTCTTATCTCCCCGAATTAAGATTTAAAATGTGCTAGATTGGTTTCATCAGATTCGTAAGACGTTTTCCCACATTGCTCCGTGGGCCATAAATACAGCTGACATTTTTCATCCGTACTCTCCTGAGAGACATATCTGCTAAATGCATTTACATGGATTTGCTACTAGACCACTCGGGTTCAGCGGGTTCATAAAAGCTTCTTTTTTTGTGTGAAAACATCAGTATAAAGTCTGCAATGCTGCAAAAGATTTCAGATAATTATTTTACATTACACATTATTGTAGAAATATTGATTAGTGCGTGTTTAAGCAAAGCTCTAGTTAGCTGCTTCTCTGCTGCATTAACAAGTGTTTTGTATTTTGTTAAAAGAAATGCACATTTATATGCCTCAAACCTGTATTTTTTGATTATTTTTTGCCACTTGAGTTGAATTAATGCCAAAATCTCAACCTGCTCTTTTTATGTCTTCACCAACTCCTAAGAAAAACTCACTTGTGCATGCATAATGATAGCAGCATCATCGTGGTATCAGCCGGCAATGGCTTTAAAAAAGAAATATTGGGACTAAATGACGTTTGACATTTGAAAAGCGTGGTATTTGATGCCTGCACCTGCATGCAGGCCATTATGATGAGCATAATAACATGTTAATTCCACTGCATTCCACTACAGGAGACACCTGACACTCCCTGCAGTTAGGTAGAGAAAAAATATGTGCATACATCAGTGTTGGCAATCTGCCCAAATGGGTTTTTTTTTTTTAAAAGAAATCTGCATATTGGCAAAAACCCAATGTTGTGCTTCCCTAGCTTCACCAGCTGCTCACTAACTGTCTGTGTTTGATGTTTGCTGCTGAGCAGACCAGTGCACATTGTCAGAGAGGTTTTTTCTTTTTGCTGAGAGCATTTGGACTAAAACCGAACAGTAAAGTTTAATTATTGACGTCCTCGTTGCTGCGTCTGTGCTTGATCTTGGGACATCTTTATCCAGATCTGCACAGTTAATCGAACCAATGAGGATTTTATTAGTAAGCTGACTCACTGCTGCTGGGAAAGCTCAGTTGGTGAAGATCACATGGATTGCGGCGATAAACTCTCGTCTGCACTACAAAGACAAAGTCGGGCTACCTGAGATTATACCTGGGCAATATTTTATCGCGCTATAAAAGAGAAGGGTCTTTTATTCGAGGGGCCGCGGAACTGAAAAGAGAAATTACGGCAGAAATATGCTCTGGGTCTTGAGGTAATCTAACCTTTAGCATTTTCTCCTGGTACAAAAGCCCTCGCTGGGGACTGGATAAAGTGTCTTCCCTTTTGTCTTTTCAGCCCTAAGTTCTTCTGCTCTCAATGGATGTCAAGCTACAAATGTGCAGCTCTCACAGATTTTTCATGAGCATGTCCTACAGTGCTAACCTGACAGACACCTTACACTTTCGCTTCTTTTGAAAGGCTGAAAAGGAGGAGAGGTGGGGGCCGCACTCTTAATCGACCTCCCTAGTTTGTCTTTTTTTTTTGCAACTTGACTAGCCTTGACGCTGCGGCACAAAAGTGAGCTCATTTTCTGAAAAAGGCCAAAGCCAAAGCCAACAAGGCTCTCAAAGCAATCTGAAGATCCATACGTGCCAGGAATAAAAATAACTGCAGACAAACGGCGCTCCAGCTGAAGGCATACTTCGGCTCTTAGCTCAAAGTTTGCAGCGTCCTTCGCAAAAAAAAAAACACACACAAAGCTATCGGAAGAACCGTCTGATGAAGTCAAGGTTGGAATAGCAAACTCAAAGTGTCTGAAAAATAAATAAGGTCAACTTCTGCACCTCAGGTTTCACATTAAGTTTTTAGCCGCGATGCCCTGCTCTCAGAGAAACATCAACACGTTTACGTCAGTGGAAAATTCCTTCCATTTTTCAGGTACGCATATTAAAACGCACTCAACTGCTCAGACTATTAATCTGAATGCGCCTAAATGTGCCATGCGATTTCGATGCTCCTGTACCGGTTTTTCCACGTATGTTCACTTTTTGTTCCACAGACTACAGAATATATTAACGTGTCATTTCTTTCCCAGACGCAGCAGAGACCAAGGGAAAACGATAGCACCTATACCACAAGCTCCCCGAGTTAAAGCCTGCAGGTTCTGGCACATCAGCCGAACAATGAAGGACTGTAAAGGTCTGTTATGATGTATGAGAATCATAAAGCCCTTTGTCATCTAAGTCGTGTAATTTTGAGAGCATAAATCTCAGCCCGTCGTTTCACAACATTTCAGAGGCCTTTGCAGTAATTCTTTGATATCAGGAGCAAGCAGCACATACCTGCAGGACTCGATTTGTCCACCCTGTGAAATACTAATGTATGAAATCACACTTTAGGTGGCATCTGCTCTGGACCAATGTGGACAAAAGCGTTTTACTTCTTCACACAGACTGACATGATAACGACACTCTCAATGTGCTCCGATGTACATAACGTTTAAATGCATGGAGGTGGCATCATCAAACACTGCGTTTTGTGAGAACACATTAATGATCTGTGGTGGTGACAGTAAAAACTGCAATGAAACAAAATACACTGATCAGCCACAACATTAAAAACACCTCCTGCCTAATGTTGTGTTGGTCCCCCTTCGGCCTCCGTAACAGCTCTGACCTGTCGAGGTCCGGGCTCCACGGACCTCTGAAGGTGTCCTGTGGTATCAGACACTAAGACATCCGCTGCAGATCCTGAAGTCCTTGAAGGTGGGGCCTCCATGGATCAGATCAATTTTCCAGCATCCAACAGATGCTTGATCAAGTCTGGAGACAAGTCCATCCATCCATCCATCATCTATACACCGCTTAATCCTCACTAGGGTCGCGGGGGGCTGGAGTCTATCCTCACATTCACACCTACGGACAATTTACAATCACCAATTAACCTCAGCATGTTTCTGGATTGTGGGAGGAAGCCGGAGAACCTGGAGAGAACCCACGCTGCACGGGGAGAACATGGAGACTCCACGCAGAAAGATCCCGGGTGTCCTCACCGGGATGCGAACCTTCTACCTGCGAGGCAACGATGCTAACCACCGAGCCACCGTGCAGCCCTGGAGACAAGTCAACACCTTGAAATCTTTTCCCTGAACAATGTTTTGCAGTGAGGCAGGAAGCATCATCCTACTGAAAGAGGCCATCGGAAAAACCGTCAAAGGGGTGTATGTGGTCTGCAACAACGTTATTTGGCAGCCTTCATGTCAAAGCAACATTTGAATGCCAGGAGCGAAGGCCTTCCAGCAGAACACTGCCCAGAGCTTTCACCAACTCTCCTTCTTCCCATAGTTGCTGCTACGTCTTCCCCAGGTAAACAACACACAGCTATGATGTAAAAGAAAACATGATCAACCAGACCAGGCCACCTTCTTTTCTACATGGCTTAGTTCCAACACTCAGATGCACATTATAGCTTCATCCAGTGTTGGAACGGGATCAGCATCTGACCAGTCTGCAGCTACTCAGCCTTAGACGCTGTGATGCACTGCTTGTTCTGCCACCTTTCTTTCATAGCCAGCAATGAGATTTTCAGCTGTTTGTGCTGCAGGAGCCAATCTGTGGATCACATGACCCAGCTTCACTCCTCATCACTGAGCTGGACCCTGTCTCCTGTTCACCGGTCGTCCTTTTTTGGTATTTGCTGACCATTTTATACAGATAATACTCCAGAAGATCTGCCATGGAGATGCTCTGACCCAGTTACTGTGTTATCTATTCTCCCATTTACAGGTGGCGTTGTAATGAGACGGTCAATACTATTCATGTCACCCGTCAGCGATTGTTGTGGCTGATCGGCGTTTCAGTTTCTGTTCAGGCTGTTGTTTTTCTCACATTTACTTATATGGTGACGGCCCAGTGTCAGCTGCTGCCATGGAGGCCTAGAATTCCGTTTACCTGTGGGTCCCTGAAGGCATCAGGACGGCCCATAAAGTTCAGCCATCCTTGTCTTGCTCTGTCTCTCATTCATTCGGACCCGGCCTCGCTGGTGATGCCACGTCTTTCTGTGCTACCGTTTTGCTTTGTTTCTGCTCCACAACACCTCACATCCCATCAGTCACACGCCATACTTATTATTATTTGTTAAATGGTTTGCTTTTGGTTATAATAAACATCCTTATTTTGAGTTAAATCTGTGTTCCTTGGGGGCTCGTCCTGCCGGTATCTGCGTTTTTGTGGTGGACCACGTAAAGTACTGTTTTAAAAATCCTTTAGTAATTAAGGTATTTCAACCAGCTAACAAAAATGCTTATTTGAGTGTCAAACATGAGGAGAAATACAAAAAGAGACAAACTGTGCGATCAGTCCCCTCAACAAGGCCCGGCGATGTCATTTGTCAAACTTGGGACAAACAGGACAAAGACAGAACAGCTTACAGAGGGTTGTTGGGTTCCGGATGCGCTTTTCTTCCTGAAATAATGGAAGGAAAATATCCAACTCCGACAGCTGGGTTAAGTTCAAAAAGAACGGGTGGAAAAGAGAGGATCAAACCGTGCTTGCTTTTCCACCTCACACACCTGGCGTTGCAGAGATACAGAAAGACTTGTGTTTACAGCGAGCAGAAACTTGACAGATCATTGTTTCGTGGGATCGCTTTTTGTTTTCGTGACCGGGGGACTCCAGCTACATACCCTCTGACGGGCTTGTTTAGCGTCCTGTCACCGGAGCACATGGCGTGCAGGATGTTGCGTCGTTATTTTGTCTCACTTTTTATCACGCAAGCATTAACTGTTGTTTCAAAAAGGCCATGAATTTAGCACCCTTGTATGTTTAAGGTACGTTAAAGTGCCGCGTCCTACCCTCTGATAGGCCTGACAGATGACATCGTACGTGAATCCCTGAGGCATCTCGCTGGCTCTGTACTTGGCCCGCTCCAGAGAATGATCCAGGTAGCCCTCAGACGTGGTGGCTATCACCGTGGACACAAGAGGACGGATGGCTCCCGCCGCCTGTGTGACAAATAGACAAGGATTTAGTTTATAGCATTTGTTGTGAAGATAATAAGTAGCATTTCTGAAGTTCTGTAGGATGAAATCTGTCTAATTTTGAGAGCAAAAGGAGGCGAAATATGAAATAATCTTTTGGCAGCTCTCAAAGAAATACGGCCATTTTGGTGCCGCGAGGTGCAACGACGCCGTTAGCTCACCGTTTGATTAACAACGCAGGGCCTACAGCTTGATGTCCTCAATATTTTAAGCAACATTTAACAGTCTAACACTCTTTATTATCACTCCTTATGGCCAGTTTTATGGCTTCAACATGTCTGCGAGGGCCCGTGCGCCGTAAATTTCATCATCACGTCCATACAGGTCTGTCGACATCTACGTGAAACCCACAATGTGAGAGCACGCAGACCGTGCACGCCGCGAGCGTGACAGAAAACTGGACGCCTGCTTCGTGCGTGTCATGATGTACAGTATGTGCTGTATTCCTTGGCCCTGTTCTTGTTAAGCAGTTACACAGACACTTCTCTTTCTTTTTTTGGGGGGGACTTTTTCATGCTGCCAAACACAACAGAGAGCAGCTCTTCTCGCTGCTGTCGGAAGGTCGGCATCATGTCTTTGAGTGCACATGTGAGAAACACGCCTGGGTACAAATACCCTGACTGCCTTTGCTGTTTCCGATAGTTTAACAGGGAAGTGAGTGACGAACACAGAAAACATGTACTGTATGGAAATATACAATAAGTATCTGGAAGCTTGTTTTAGAAGCTGATATGAGCTGAGGGTGCATCAGAGCTGAGAGAGGAGCAGAAAGAAAAACCCATCGAAAAAATCTGAGAAACTGGAGTTAGTTTGGGGCTGCAAGTTGGCTCGGTGGTTAGCATCGCAGCTAGAAGATCCCCGGTTCGCATCCCGGTGAGGACACCCAGGATCTTTCTGCGTGGAGTCTCCATGTTCTCCCCGTGCAGCGTGGGTTCTCTCCGGGTTCCATCATCCATTATCTATACACCGCCTAATCCTCACTAGGGTCGTGGGGGGCTGGAGTCTATCCCAGCTGACTCAGGGTGAAGGCAGGTTCACCTGGACAGGTAACCAGTCTATCACAGGGCTACACTTAGAGACAGACAACCAAGCACACTCACATTCACACCTACGGACAATTTACAATCACCAATTAACCTCAGCATGTTTCTGGACTGTGGGAGGAAGCCGGAGAACCAGGAGAGAACCCACGCTGCACGGGGAGAACATGGAGACTCCACGCAGGAAGATCCCGGGTGTCCTCACCGGGACACGAACAGGCGACCTCCGAGCTGCGAGGCAACGGTGCCAACCACCGAGCACCTTGCAGCCCAGTGATCCATATTAACACCAGAATTAAACAGATCCTTCTTTTGTCTGGGCTCCATCTCTCAACTAAGAAATTCGGCTGCATAGTTTTTGCATAATCCTGCTGGCGGTCAAGCAAACAAACTGAAAACACAACTCTGCCTTGGCACAGGAAATATTATGCAAAATATTCACGAATCTTGAATTAAGACAATACGACCAGTAAGCTGACCCTGCGTCAGGGTTATTTGTTGAGTAATCTTGATAATTGTCCATCCAAAGGCGGAAATGTTCAAGGAGAGAACATTTCCTTGATCGTACTTTAGAGTCGTGATTACACAATAACAATAAATGCATTTTATCCAGGACAGCTGGAGCAGGCACTGCTTCTACTTCCTCCCCTGGAAATTCTAAATAATCAAAATATCTGCGATAATATTTTCATCTCACTGCAGCGTGACCGAAGACGGCTTCCAGGAGCAGGCAGCCGGCGGGCGTACGTGGGTGCAGCGAATGAGAGGGAAGCAAACATGTGTTCTGCGTGTTACACATGCTGTTAAAATCAAAATTAATCTGCTGCTCCTCAGTCGAGACGGGCTTTCTGTCATGAGCGTGGATGCTGGCAGGATAATGAAGACCAGGCCGCCCGCTGTGAAAGTTCATCACGAAGCACGCACACACACTCAGAAACACACCATAAACGTTGGCCCTGTGTCAGGAGGCTCTTGCTTTATCCGCAACCTGTGTGACCTGCATTTAGAAAAAGCCTTGTGAGCTTTAAGCACGAGTCGTTACGAAACCGATCTGCAGGTTTCTTCACCGCGGCTTTGGCCTGAATGTTCTCTGTCTATCACTGATGTCATAAACACCGCCGTCAGGAGCGATGGATCTGTCGGTCTGTTATACAGTTTCGGGAAACAAGGATCAATCTTGTCACAGGGGGGCGAGTTTTAGGTGCAATCATATAAATTGTTAGTTTTCTTTGGTCTGAACCCGACTGGAAAACTTGACTGTTAATGTTTGGTTTGTTTACGTTCACGCCGAGTTGGTGAAAAATAAACCACAGGGCGCACAAATAAAAGTCACGCATGTCTTTCAGGTAACCCATCATCCCACCGGGTGAAACATCCAGCTGCAGTAAAGCCTTGTTTACACTCCGTGCTGTAATCGACCTTCTCTGGTTTTCAGCTAAACGCACAAGAAGAAATGAAGTATGAGCTACAGCAGAGATTTAATTTAGCTACGCTGAGCGTTCCAAGAACGAGGAACTACTGGCTTTTGGGGTTGTTTCCTGTATTTGTAAGGGGGATTACGGCCGTTTTCTGAACCGCTCGTCTTCTGGAAATAGACGTTTCCTGCCTTCGTGAGCTACCAAGTCTTTCCACGTTGTAACATTTACTGAGATTTAAACACAGAACAATCGTGTGCCTATAAAGTGCTTGTGTTGCGTAAAGACGCCACGTCCATTCACTGTTTAGTCAGTAGACAGCTGAACATCGCGTTTACAGCCTGTTTTTATGTCAATCAACTCATAATTTTTGCTCAAATCTTTAAGAAATGGTAACAAATGTGAAGTTAGCTGGTTTGTTTTCATTATTAATTATTCTGATCATTAGTTTCTTGCATAAATGCTCATTTCTTGGTCTATAAAACGTCAGCAAATGTCCATCCCACCTACGGACAATTTAGAATCACCAATTAACCTCAGCATGTTTCTGGACTGGGCTGCAGGGTGGCGCAGTGGTTAGCACCGTCTCCTCGCAGCTAGAAGGTCGCTGGTTCATGTCCCGGTGAGGACACCCGGGATCTTTCTGCGTGGAGTCTCCATGTTCTCCCCGTGCAGCGTGGGTTCTCTCCGGGTTCTCCGGCTTCCTCCCACAGTCCAGAAACATGCTGAGGTTAATTGGTGATTCTAAATTGTCTGTAGGTGTGAATGTGAGTGTGCTTGGTTGTCTGTCTCTAAGTGTAGCCCTGTGATAGACTGGTTACCTGACAGCTGGGATAGACTTTAGCCCACACGACCCTAGTGAGGCTTAAGCGGTGTATGGATAATGGATGGATTGAAAACAACATGGATGCATGTTGTCTGCACAGAATAGTGCTCAATAAGGCCCCATTCAGGTTTGTGCCAAGAGCTTAGACCACAAAATAAAAAAATAAAAACCAGACCATGTGAATGTGTGTTCAGATGTTGCCGACCAGCGGCTCTGTGATGTTGTGGCTTCAAGCCAAACTTCGCCCAGCATCACATTTCTACAGATGGCCATCAGAGGGGTTTATTTGACTCCCAGATGAACCTGCAGATGAACTGATAATGAAAATAATCAATAGGTGCAGCCCTGCATGAGACCACATGCAAACTGCAAATCCTCACATTTGAGAAGCTGGAACCAGAGAATGCTGTGAGAGTAAAAAATGACTCCAATCAGTTATTAAAGATAAACAAGAGAAAATATTGATCGTTTCAGCCTAAACGATTGTGCTGCTTAAATTCTCACTCGTCCAAATTAGCAAAAATAAAGCAGGAAACACGGCTGAGTAAAGTGAAAAAGCAGCAGATATAGAGTTTTGGATGGATTTCAGCTCCTAACCCTCCTAATGATGAATATTTTAAATCAAATTAGCTTTCATCACACTGACCCCTTGTTCCTTGGCAGCCATTGCGATCTTGTACAGAAAGTCCTCCTCCACAAAAGGCCGCACTGCGTCGTGTATGATGACCACCTTGGGCCTGTCCGCCGCCGCCGACCTCCCCTCGTCCTCCCCCTCCTCACCCAGAGCCAGGACTCCGTTGCATATCGACCTGTGACGAGTCGAGCCGCCGGCCACGACCCGAACCTTCCCGTGCTGGAAGCGCTGGATGATGTCGATCATCAGGTCCGTGTTTTCTTTGGCAACAACCACCACGACGCTTTGGATCCAGGACACCCTGCAGGAACACACCAGCTGCTCAGCAAACGTCGTACGGTCACACTTCAGACCGAGAAACGGGGCTGCGAGTAATCTAATAATTATCATTTTCTTGCTTGTGTAATCTGGAACGGTCCGGCGGAATCTGAAAAGTTCCCAAAGCACACAGTGACATTTTCAAACTGCTTACTTTGGCTGACCGAAAAACCCAAATATATTAAATTTGTAAGGATATAAAACAGGGAAAAGCAGAGAATTACCCCATTGACAAAGCTAAAACCAGGAAAGTTAGCTGGTTTCTCCTAAAATAATACAGATACACTCTTTTTTTAAGAAATACACTTCACTTATATTTAACACATCTGTACATGAGATAAAAAGTTAGCGCCTAAAGAGAGTTAGCTTAGCATAACGACCGACAGCCAGGGGAAACAGCTAGCCTTGAAAATAATCTGCACACCAGCTCCTGTGAAGCTTTATAAATATAATGCTGTATCTCAATTACAAAAAACAAAGTCTTACAACAAGTAGTGGCCTTGCTAGGTGTCTGCTGTAATGCTAAGCTAAGCTAACAGGTTGTTGGTAATACAGATGAGAGCAGTTTGTCTAAATCTTCTAATCTGGCTCTCAGCAAGAAAGCAAATAAGCATATTTTTGTAGAAACCGTAGAAATATTTCTTAAGCAAATGATCGATAATTATTTAAATGCTGCACAGCTACGTTTGGCTTTCTGCTCTTTACACTCATATTGCTGGATTTTTACTTATATTTTGCACTTGTTTTTATTATTTATGAGGCTCTTTCTTTAAAAAACCAGGACCTGAGTGCTACTTTCATACCACAAACACGTGAATGTGAGCTGGTGTGACAAATAAACTTCCTTGAATCCTTCTTTCTAGGACTGTAGGAGGCCCGCAGGAACCCAGTGCTGTCAAATAGAAGATGGAGCTAATGTCGGGACTGCAACACATTTGACACATCTACGCAGAAACACAACACCGTGCAAAACCAGCGACCAGGTTGGGATTCCAGGGGTCAGCCGCCGGTGACCTCTGACCTTCCTCCTTACCTACCGGGAGCCTCCCTGTAAGCGGCGGGCCACACAGGCAGCGGCTGCACTCATTTCCTGACAGGCGCGTAAACACTGACAGCGAGCTGAGAGGACACGCATGTGATTACAAACACCGGCTGTTGTTGTTTTGCTGTAATGAAGTTTTAGGAAGTGATCACGGCTTAATGTAAACATCCACCTTCGCCTCGCTTCGGCTACGGGGCCTGAAATCTGTCGAAAATATGACCGCGTTCGTCCGCCAGAAGAGAAACGCTCAAATAGTTTGGCAGCACCGAAGTGTGAAGAATAGAAACCTTGCGTTCTGAATTTAGGAAAGGTAAATAAGTGAGCTGTATTCCTGTAGGACACAACAGGTATTAGTGTGTAATAATGGGTTAGTTCATCCTGAAAAACAAGTGGCTGCTTCACCCAACTGCTTTTGTTCTTCTCTCTCTCTCTCTACACATATATATAGTATATGCATATCTTTACATATTCATAATTCCCACATGAAACTGCATCCACATCATCCATACTTGTGTTCAGCATGTACTGTAAATGACACATGAAGACAAACTCCTCTCTCCAGTAATAACGCTTCACAAATCTTAAACTTTGGACAATCATTTCTATGGTTAAACTAAATATATATACATGGTCAAAAATATACAGTCGTGACTCGATAATCCGACCCTTAACAATCCTAAACCTGCTATCCGACAGGTTTTTAGGAAAAACCAACAGAACCCATAAAAACAGCCTTAACATAGCGACAGCCTTGGATTGTGACTCCGACATGACATTTAATGTCACCAATCAGGATGACGGCGTATTATCTGACTGAACAATCCCACAGATTGGCTACGTTCACACTGCAGGACTTGATGCTCAATGAGGATTTCTTTGTGACTTCCTTCACGTTTCCACTTCAATGCGACTTGTATGTGATCTGCTGTGTGAACTTCATACGAGCCAAAAGTGTCCCGCATGCGCAGAAGAGGACACGACGACGTCACACGCAGCGAGCGTGCTCAGTGTTTATGGAAGTAAACATGGATGGTAACGGTGGAGCGTATCTGCCACTCCCCCGCCGCCACCGATGGTGGAAACAGAAGTGTGAGCGCTAACTAAACTAGCATCAGCAGCCAAGTACTGCCTGTGTGTTCTGGACACTTCCACCCCGTCAGAGCGCTGACCCGGGGTGGAAGTGTCCCCCGACCGCGCTGAATATTCAGATATTCATCATTATTTGGATCTGTGTTGTTCAGACTGTCATGAAAAGACCAGATACAGGTCGCATAGGAGGGAAACACAATCGGATTTGGGTCACTTCATCCTTCTGTCTGAACGTATTTACCTTTGATGTCAACAGACGGCCTGTGCACAAGTGTGTTCTAGCAATACACTAGTTATTATAACGACTATAAACAATGAATATTAACAAGTAATGAGCCTTCCAGCATCAAACCCTCTTCGATTTTCGATTTTAAAAAGGGGCTCTGAAGCTTAAACTTTGGTTCTTTCATGACTGCTTTTTCCATCATATAATTAACCCAGAAGAAAACCTTTTGTGTTATTCCATCATTAAAGTGATGAGATGCTGCTACCAACTGATTTCATTCATACACAACCAGGAAACCAGGAAACATTCACATCTGACTGAGTGGTGTCAGAGAATTTGTTCTTATGTCAATTTAGTTAAAGCTGAAGGAAGAAGTGATAAATGAGTGATGTGGGGAACCAGGGGCCCAACAGCTCGCTTCTGCCCCGGGGCCCCTCGGAGGGTTCAGGCGGCCGTGGAGGGAGGAGGGAGGGAGGAGGGAGGCTCGCTTCCGTCTCCTGCCGTCGCTCCACCTCCGTGTGTTCATTAACACGGACTGTAACGTCTCACTTATCCCATTTCAGTGTTTTCCTACCTCTCGAAAGCCTGGATAGTGTAGCTTATGAGCGGTCTGCCCAGGAACGAGCAGAACTGTTTGGGGGTCTGCAGTCCGGTCCTCTCTCCGGTGCCGCCGGCAGGAAGAACCACGGACACCGGGAAGTCCACGCAGCGCCCCGCCGGCTGGTGGTCGCTCTTCCCGGCCTCGTTAGTTAGGAAAATCCCGGGATGAGCGGCCCTGTCCGGTTCGCCGTTATCACTTTGCATGTTGGTGTCACTGACCTCCATCAGTTCATGGGTGGGGTTGTGGACGGGGGGTCAGAGCAGGTCTTCCCCAAAACTGTCCATTCCCAGCTGATGGGCGGGGTGGGAAGGTAGCGGCAACGTGGATGGAGATCAGGGGAACACCGCTGTGAAGCTAGCAGAGCTAATGGCTGTAGTTCCGGTGAAGGACTTCATAATAAAACACGACAAGCTTAGCTAGGATCTTCGTACAAATTACCTTTTGTCAATAAAAGGGGAATAAATTTACAGTCAGGTTCTTGTTTAGGTAGTGTGCAACCTTAAGTAATTTTCACTTTCAAACTTTCAATAAACTATTTACTTTAAATGCATGGTATATTTGATTAATTTTCCATTTATTTTTATATTTAATAAAATCATATAGAAACAATATTTTCTGTCCATCTGAAACAGGTGTTTCTTAGCTCGAGGACCCCAAATTTCAAGAGTTAAAAAAAGGAGGATGGAGCACAACGCTTGTATTATGCAAACAGAGCACTATTCCATTAGAATAAAAATAAAAATAGTCGTTTGGTGCAAAAGCTTAACTCTGTTAAATAAATCACATCTTGATTCTCTAATGAAGGCCATGACGTCGTGTGTTTGCCTCTGAAACATATAACAGCAAAGCAGTGTCCAGACTAGCCTGTGTTTTCAGGGGAGCTCAAATCCAACACTGATAAATAAAGCTTGATTTAGTTTTTATTTTCCTGGTATAAGGATATAAATAACAACAATAAGAAAACTGCTGCTGGTGCTGCCTGGTTCTCTGATCATGGAGGGTTAGTTTTCTGTTTTGTTTTTCCTGTTAGTTGATGTATGCATGCCAGTGTTTTTATCAAAATGAATCAATTAATACTCAATGATAGCCTCTTTTTTTGTGCATGATCCATGCTAAGAAGTCAAACACCTCTGGCACACATCATGTCTTCAGAGGGGCTTGTGTCTTATCTCGGCTCACCCTGTAGTTCACACCTTTGGTAAAGGTCAGAAAAGAATCCAAACATGGAAATAACCTGGTTATCAGTTGTGCAATGTAATGTCTCTGTGACAAAGTCTGTGTGAAGCAACATGGTTGAATATCTCGTGTTAAATGAGTGGAACCAGTCCATTAAATCATAAACCCGCAGTCTTTTATGTACTCCCCCCAAAAAAAAAACAGTTTAATGTCAGCCCTATTTCATACTCTGTTGGGCAGTAGGTTTTTATTTTATTTTCAACTTTGCTTTTAAAAATAAGCATTATTTCCTTTACTGTTATATTAAGGTAAATGCCAGCAACTTGACGCATGTGTAAAAAGAATGCAGCAGCTGCCGCAGGTCCAAATTCTCGCGTGATTTCATGATATCTAACAATGCAAATGGGTGTCTGATTTCGCAAATCTCACGAGATGTCAATGATTAAGTCTTTGCAATTATAAAACTCTGATTTGCAAGCCAAAATATGACTATGTGCTGGTGTGAAGTTTATGATACAGACATTATGACATTATTTTGTTTCTGTCAGCGGTATTAGATTATAAATTTCCACAAATGTCCGCCCTTACTCCCTGTGTTTGGACAACGTGCATTCCAAGGTGTTGTATATTTATGATGAAGTCTTACTTAAGATTAGGCCTGCGTCCACTGGAAACAACACATGAGATAAAAAGTGATATTTATTTCATACACAGTTATTACAAGGATGATTGATGACAAAGCTTTTCCAGACTTCACCCACACGATGACGCCACTCGAGCAAAAACGGATCAGGAAATATATTACATCACACATACATCATAAATCTTACATAGTAAAATTTTATACACATGGCCATACTTCAAAAGGCAAGTAAGAATTTGATATATGTACAAATATTTACACATGAGTTTATCTTTAAGATGCTGTGTGTTGGTTGGTTACTGGTGTTGGCGCCTTGCTGGCTACAGATCTCCATCCGCATATAAAACGATTATAGGAACGCATGCACGGGGCCACAGCTGGGACAACGCGTGGCTCCGGGAAGCTCAGTCCCGTTCACATTATCTTCAACCACATGGATTCAAACGTCAAGACGAGTCCTCAGCGTGCCCATTGGAGTTCTCCATCGTAGTGAGGAACCAGCTTCACATAAATCAGTCACACAGAGATAATCCACAACCTCCGGATGTCGTGTCTTAACATCACAGACACAAAACTCCTGAAGGTTTGAGAGTCGCTCTGAAAGTCTGGAAGGCCTCTCAGGGTTCCGTCTCGTGCCAGTTCTCGCTCAGGCGGTTCTTCCCCAGCCTCCTTTTGCTCTTGGACTTGTGTTTGTGCAGGAGCTGCGGCGGCGACACGACCGGCTCCTCGAACTTGTTGGCCGACTCGTTGTGCTGCCTCGAGTACCTCTTGCACTTGCAGGAGGTGACCACGGTGATCTTGTAGGTTCTCGTGCTGCCGTCCTGGCACTGCAGCTGGATGCGCTGGGTGCGGGTCTTGTCGTTGACGCACCGCCAGTCCTGGTTGTCGTTCCGGCGGCCCCAGAACTTCCTGCCGTGGGCGCCGCCGATCCAGTTCTCCAGCATCTGAGCGGGGAGGCACTCGCCCGCGCACACCAGCTCCTTGATGGGGTTGATGCTGGTGCAGTGGCCGTCCGAGATGTACTTGGTGGACCTCAGCTCTCTGCAGCCGATCTGACTTCGCTCTGCAGGCGGACGGAATCAAGAGTGAGAAATGAGGAGGAAGGCAGCTTTACAGAAACGTTAAAGAGGAAAAGAAATCATAAATCATGAACAATAAGGCTGCAACTGATGCTTTCATTCTCAAGTTTTCTCTGTTTTCATTGTAGAAGCATGGACGTGAGACAAAAGCAGCAAATCCACCCACTTGGTTGACTTAAATAAAAGCTTTTTGTGGTATTTTTTGCTTAAAAATCTTAAACTAGTCGCAGAAAAAAGAAACCGCTGCAGCACAGACGCAACATTGAGTCCAAACTTTACTTTTCTAATTGAGACAACGCAAATCGCACATCAACGTAACCAAATATCATTACTCCATCACGATATTTAACGGTAATGGTTGATAATTGAGGATTACTGGAGCCCCCTCTGCAGCCTCCGGGGAGTCACAGGAGACGTACAACAGCATCTCGACCTTTCTGCTTCAAAAAAGTTGCGTAATCGAAAAGGAGAAACTTTCACTTTTTTTTTTTGTTAATCAGGGATGGAGCAGGAGGATTATTTCCATGCAGCAGCGTGATTCTCCTGCAGGCTACAAACACCGTCCCCCCTCCTCTGCTCTCCCCTCCATCAGGGTAACCCAAGCTCAGCTCCATTCACACTGATCCTCCCTCGTCTCTGTCGCAGTGTTTGATGAATGAAGAGGCTCCATCTTGCTGCTTCTCCTCCGGTCGGCTGCAGGTAGAACACCTCCACTCTGCTCTGGCCTGTCTCAGCCTCCAGCCAGGCGTCTTACACTAAACTCCAGCTCACTGAAGGCAGTAAAAACTCACTGTTTTATCGCAGTAGAAGTTCACACTGTGACATTTTTTTTCTTTTCCGTAACATCTCCATGTCTGTGTGGTAAAACTACAAGGACGTCTGAGGGCTGCTGCACTCTGGTTCTGCGACTGATGATGAGATTTTAACGTGTTATTGTGACATAATCCCTCTCAGGAATGGCATAATGATGGGATTAAGTGCCTGATTAAAGGCCCTGCATTGAGCTCATTGAGATGTGAGGACAAAAGGCAAAATCAGGACGTTTGGTGCTTTGACCTGAACTTTGTCTCAGAGTTTTGGCTGCTCGGACTCTTAAGTAGGAAAAATAAAGAGTTTAAAGTAAAAGGGTGAAGTGAAATGATGGAGTCTAAGGAGAGGGGGAGGTATGCAAGCTCCTTCAGATGCACAACATACAAAGTAATCCATTTTTACGCACAAACTCTTAAAAGAGAGTCCAGATATCAAGGATGTCATGCAGTTTCCCCAAGAGCACCAACGGAAAAGACACACTTTGAACTAAAGAAAGAAGCTTAAAGTCGCTGGAAGCTGCCCTGGATGGTGGGGCATCTCCTGCTCCTGCTCACTCACCGCCTCTGTCGTGCGCAGCGTTGCCCGCCGCCGCCGCCGCCGCCGCGGCTCTGCCGCCGGTCCGCGCCCGGTTCAGGGACACGTTGCTCTGGACCTCTGGTACCGGCGGGCTCACATGCGAGAAGAGCAGCTCCGTGGCGTCGTTCTTGAAGGCCTGGCAGCTCCTCAGGAGGAGGCAGAGCAGGAAGAGGGAATGGCACGACTCGTGCGCGCTGAGCTGCATGGCCGGACCGTGGAGGAGCGCAGCTGGAGGGAACACTGGCTTCGTTCTGCGCGTAAAAGCGGAGCGATGCTGGCTGAGCCTCATGTGAGAGCCGAGGTTTTATACAGCAGACCCGCCTCTCGCTTTGGCAGCTACTCAGGTGCGTCTCTGTTGGGAGGCTCTGATTGGTCGCTACGCGTGTACGCGACCACGTTAACCCCGCCCACTTGTTTGGTTACACATGTTGCTGCTGGATGCTGGAGAGGATGCTCCTCTCCATGGTGATGGAGGTGATGGGAGGGGAGGCTTTAAGTGGATTACTGGCTCATTAACATTTTGATTTATTTTAAATGAACATGAAGACAAATGATTGCTGTGAAAAATGACTCACTGTTCTTTTACTTCACAGAATTGTTTTCATTTTATAGACATTCAATGTTAAATTTCAGGTGATATGAAGTAAAATTACAGTTTTAAAAAAGCATTATTTTACATTTTAACTTAAAAAAATAAAGATCAAAACTGTAAATCATATCCACATTAAAAATCTGTATTATTATTTTTTTTTTTACCAGTGATAATTAATTCTTAGAAAGCATTTGACAGTAAATTGCGCTGTAATGGTAATAATAAAATGAGAAATTATTGTTATCATTATTTTTACATTATTTAAAAGAAGTGGTAAATTATTATTGAACAGATTTTCACTGTTTTGTTAAACTGCAGATAATATTTCACAAAAATCATACAAAAAAGTGATAATTTACATGTTTTTTTTGTTTGTTTTTTGTTTAAAAAAGGCTAAAATTGTCCATAATGTCCACATCAAACAGTTTTTTGTTTTTTTTTAACAGATGTGTGTTTTTCTGAGATGCAGGATTGCAGCTAAAAACAAAATAATTTTATTATATTTACAATCAGTAAAGTTTATCAGCAGGGAGAAAGAGTAAAGCTTTCCTCTGAATAGATTTATTATGATCCCCTTCACATTAATTCAGCATATTAGATCAGAATCTACGAAATGGAACACAAGAGCAGCCAATTCCAAAGAAAAAACTTGTGTGGATGAGGCACAAAAAATAAAACAAGCAACACTTTAATCTAATTTACCAAAGTTTTCTCTTCTTTAAAATCCAAGACACCCCAATTAGATTTGAGGTTAACTTGAGTTTGTGTACAGTTTTGGGGTTATCTCATGCATTAGTTTCTGCATTTTAAATGAGCCAGAAGTTAAGTTTTGCAGCCCTTAAGTCAAAACAGATAAAACCACAAATTGGTTTACTGACAGAACAAAACCAGCTTTGTGCTTAGAACAGCAGGGAAAAGGCCACCGAGTAACTTTATATTCAAAAATAACAAACATAGATGTGGATGTAGATTTGATAAAATGTCGTAAATCAGATTTCAGTGCAGCTGGGGGAAGCAGAACGTGTTCTGGCTCTGCTGCGGTGAGGATGTCGTTAGCTTTGTGGAGCGCTGTTGTTCTTCAGGGCTTGGATGCTGTTGTGATGCTGTAATAAACAGGCTTAGCTTTTAGTGACTCCTGCTGTTCTTGGATTGTATAAGTTTCCAGAACGTCAA